AATAGACAGGATAGTAACAAAAATATATCGTCAATTCGGTATCATGGATAAAAGTAACATTTCTGAAAATAAATCATAACAAACCATGCTTTAATGACAAATTCTTTGAGACTTGAATAATACATAGGGCCTTTTTATTGCAAAAGAGAAGAAGAAGAATGTGTTGCAATACATAGGAGGCTAGTTATAATTATAGATAGTTAAGCTTTATTGTTAGTCTGTTTGTTATTTAAAGGACATATTGTAGCATAGTGTAGTATGTGCGATTGATAACTCATTCTTAATATCTTAGATCTGACAAGAAATCTAAAGTTAAAATAAATTGTTAGCTGTAAGCTCCCAGATTATTAAAGAATGAACCTGTGACAAGTAGTAGTGGCTATAAGACATGAGCATCAACTTTAATTTAAAAACCATCTATAAATGTGAAGTTACTTGGGTATAATTTACTAAGTATTATAATCCAAACCCATCACCTTCAAAATGAAAAAGTAATTTAACTTCTTCTTACTCTAAATACACCTTTAATGCCTGTCTTGGCTCAGGTTAAATGAAAAAATTTGTCAAAGATATTGAAAGAAAATTACAAGATTTCAAAAGCTGTAACCAAGTGTAATCTAGTAGCCTCAGTATACTTCTCTAATTCTCCTCAGCTCAAATCATAGCCATCTGAAAAATGCGAATAGTTATGAACCCACGCTAATCTGTAACCTGAGAGAGACACTATTATAGTATTGTGATGAGCAATATAGGAAATCCTACTCTCACGAGAACATACCTTGATATTCTGTTAATATTTTCTATAAAAAAAATTTGAGAAAATAATACTCAAAAAATATATACCAGGAACATAGTTATATGCAATATCACGAAGTATATGGTCTACTGTAGCATTTTTAGTGATGTGCATCTGCAAAATCTCATATCTGATTGGGCAATATGCTAAATGCAGTAAAAATGTGAATATTTGTGCTTAAACATTACGAAATGCATCACATACTACTATATTTATATTTTGTATGAGATTTGTTACTATATGAATGTATTTTTAACAGGTTTTTGTTTTAATTAATGTGCATGATGATCATTTATAAAAATGCGCTTGTTGTTTGTTAATGTCTTTTAGAATTCACTAACCAAATGTGGATTTTTGGCATAAAAATCTTGAATTTAGTCTGTAATGGCTAAAATCAGTTCACATGACTCTTTCTTCATGAGGAAAATTCTGTTGCAGTTGAATAATAATATTTGAAGCCAGTTTTAGCTGCACAATGGTGCAAAGTCTATCAACTACAACTAAATCGCATAGCTTCAGATTATATCATAATTATTGAAGCTATGAATTGTTGGCCATGGCTCAAGTTGTAGTAATAATATCAATAAGCTTCACATTAAATATTATTACATTGTTACAGTAATAATGATTTTAAAGCAATATAGCATTTAAAGAAGCTATACAAGCGTTAACAGCTCTAAAAACTTTAATAGGTTGAGATTGGTCTACAAAATTCTGTCATATAATGTCAGGTTTTCACATGATATTTCAATTAAGTTAAACGTTATCAATCAATATATATACCTATTAATTAATTTCTCAGTTCAATTTTATTCATATGATTTAAGGTTCTCACAAGTACATAAATTATAGATCGGAACACAATTTTTTAATTGGTGAAACTGATAAGTAAGTTCATTATTGTGATAAAAAATAAAATTTGAAGCCATCTTTTTTTGTCAGACTTTAGCAAAATTACAGTAAAGATCGCTTCAATCAGTACTATTAATGATCTCAATAGCTATCTAATCACATTGAGCACTCTTAGTCTAAGTTTAGTGATTATTCATTGGTCTAAGTATTTAATATAAGCTGTTCATATCTCATTTAGCTTCTTATCCATATTAGGCCAGACCAATTTAATTCGGTAGTTTACATTACATTCCTCTCTCAAAAGAGGAGAGGGGGGTAAAAAATAGACCAACATAGTAAATTTTAATAAAATTTTTTTAATTGGAAATTACTGGCTTGACCTTGCTCATCTTTTATGTTCGTTTATTTTCTCTTCGTAATTTTTCGGATCCTAATCTTAATTTTGCCCTGTAAAATACTCTCCAGCCAAAATCATATATATATATATCCTAAAAATTTTTTGTACTAAGAGAGAGGGAGGAGGTCAAAAGAGGGGGTAATGTAAACTACTGAATTAAATTTGTCTAGCCTTACACAGGTTGAATCAATGAATATCAGATGCATATCCGAAAGACAAGTTTCCTGATATATACATACTCGATAGTTTGCTATAGATCTGTTGAATATTAGCAGCATTTTTGGCAGCATATTGGAAAAATATCTGGAGATAGATCGATATAAGCAACCTAACAGCAAAATATGAGATTTTACTTTAGGCCCAGAGTGCTAAAAGTAATATATCTTGGTATTTCAATATTGTACTGATATCGATCTACTCTCAATATCCTACTAATATGCTGCCAGTTACATATAAGGAAACTTGTTTCCCAGCATGCACGCAATATTCATTGGTTTAACTTGTATTCGTATATATAATTATCATCTACCAAGATCATTTCTAAACAGAGATGTCACGTTACAATGCCCAATTGAGTTCAATTTTTTTTTGGACATATGTCCAATTAAAATTGGTCATTGTAACGTGATATCTCTGTTTCTAAATCATGGAGATTATTATGAATAGATCCGTATGGCATGGGATGTGTATTTTTAATATCTGTTCTGGTGTTATATATTATTAAGGTTAGCATTGGAAAATTGCAGTGGGTTGTTATAATATGTTTTTAAAAAGGTACAGTCTGACCTCTCTATAGTCACACCCTATATAGTCACACCTCTATATAAGCACCCAATATTGTGTAACAGACTTAAAAATAGTAAAAAAACCTTTTTATAGTTACAAATTGCTTATAATCACTATCACAAAAAAATTTAGATTTTTTTATCAATTTTATTAGTAAAAACCCTCTTTATGGTCACAAATTTGACTAAATATAGATTACAAAATCTGGTTGGCCAATATTCATATTCATGCTTATCTAAAATATTCTATTAAAATTCTTAAAGGTTTGATGGCAAATATCTTTTGATGCAGTGGTCCAATTTAAATAAAACAACCACCAAAATATTTGTCTCGATAAGACAATTCTAATGAGTCCAAGATCGTCAAAGTCCAATCACAGGCTCCTGTGATCATTAAGGATTTGTATTACTTTATATAGTTAAAAATTGATTAAATTTAAATATCTTAGTCAAAAATAATTAATGATCTTAGCATCTTGCAATTAGATTTGGATAATTTGGGCTCTCTAAAATCATCTTATTGAGTCAAATACTCTGGTAAATATTTTATTTAAATTGGTCCACTGGATCAAAAGTTACTTACTATTAAACATTTTAAAATTTTTAACAGTATTTTAAATATGCATAAATATATTACTTATTGGCCTTTGGTCATGTGACTATGAAAGGTATTTTATTTATAGTCACACCTCTATATAATCACCAAAATTGGGTGCGACCAACTTGTGATTATAGAGAGGTCTGACTGTATTTGTTTAAATCATAGTGTCTCGTATCAATATAGTTATGCTGTATTTAGTTTTATACACGATATTTATTTATCTAAATTCAAAACTATAACTTATATAACTACATATTCAGTATTGGAGCTGTAGTCCGTTCCTGGTTTAGCGCGATAATGTCGCGCAGCTACTTATTTCTATATAAGCATAATAGTATAATATCAAATGGAAATAAAATTAGAAATCGAGCTAAGTTCTGAAATCATCCAAAAAGAAAATGAAAGCAAGACTAAAATGCCTGATATTTTCCGAAGTAGGGATATAAATAAATTTATCATTAAGAACATAAATAAATTTCCAAAAACATCAAAATTAAATAAATTTGTTTTCATGAGAACATAAATCTCAAAACAGATTTCTATCACCGGTGATGAGATGCATTAAAAGATTTTCTAGGCCAAATCCACCTCATCCAAGGAGAAGTTGAAAAGAATGAGAAAAAAGAATTCAAGAAATCTGCTGAAGTCGTATGATGTTAGATACGCAATCTTGCTAAATGGTGCACGATTAATTTAGATCGATTTAGTAGTCATTAGTTGACATTGTGAATTTGAATCGTTCTCAAACAAACACTTTGGATCTTTTGAAAAGTTTCGAATTCATGTGTGATTAGAAAATACACAATACATTAAATAACTCAAAATGTAGGAACCAGTCATATTTTATGATAATAAAAAGTTGGTTAATAGAAGTTGCGAACATTATAAATGTAACAATACTATACTTTATAACCTGATGTCAATTGTGTGATCCTATTAAAGTTGCCCAAGGAGTAAATGACGGTAAGGCATTGATGCTGCATTAAAGAATTTCAATTTTAAAGCTAGACATTTGAAAAAAGTGGTCGAGTAGGTTAGACCAAAATAATACACTCTACCTTGTTATAACGTAGTAATTAGACTGGGAAATTCAGCCTGTTATAATAAATTTCTACTATAGCATTACTGATTACATAACATAATAAAATTATTTCAACCAATGCTAAGGAATTACTCCGCTATAATGAGAGATCAATTTTAACGGGGCCAGTAGAGTGTATTTAAACGATTGTTGAAAGAGTTAATTAGTCTTAGTGCTTCAAAATGCAGCTATCATATATGGCAAAAAATATCACAGGACAATAGCTTGAAATGTACAAACTAACATGAAGTTGAGTCAAAACATATAAACAACAAATATATGGAGTGTTATAAGATGATGATAACGGAAGTCTTCATAAATTTTAAGAAATTTCCTAGATCTTATCCAGGAGAGACGCTACTCCTAATTTTGCAAAATAGACGTTAGTAGAAGCATAAAGTCTTGCAATTTGAACACGAAGTTATTCAAGAAAAAATAAAAAAATAAAATAAAAATAAAAATGATATTTACTTGTTAGGTCATAATGGCTAAGGTATCAATCGCTTCGCAGAACAGACGGCATATATTGCCGATGATGGACGCCTCTCAGAAGCTTTCAAAATTGAAAGAATATAAGATAAGGTGATCCCTTGCCCCCGTACACACCAGCATTTGAACCTTTACTTAGAGAAATTAATAAGAAAATAACGGGCATAAATGTACATGATTTCTGGTTTAAGATATCGATGATTCTAGAGTCTTAAAACGATTGAAATATTCTAATTCGATAAATAAAACAATACGAGCTAGCATAAATCGTGAAAATAAATAAAGCAAATCAATATTGGTCCCACTTACTGATAACGCGATGAATGAGAACCTTCCAGGAGGAAAATGGCACCATTCTAAAAAAAGATCAAACGATCAGGATCTTAGGTTTTGAGATAGATAATAAGGAACTCTAATTAAGATCTCTGAAAAAAAAGCGTAAACAAACCTGAAAAAATAGTGGAAAGAACAAACAATAACTTGTCAATTAGATGCCGAACCAGATTTATCTCACCAAAATATGGTACACAGTCTATATTTAACCACCACTAAAAAAGTAAATTTCTGAAATTAACAACTTGCTTATAAACTGGATTAAAATAGGTCAAGATACACAATTTTCAGCAACCGCTGAAATGAAATCCTCGGTGATGCCGGACATGATAGACGCAAGACTAGAGATGTGCGAATGCAAGTTTTTTTGGCCTTGCATTACATAATGCAACATTATGTCGCATGATACATTATGCAATTCTGTATAATATACTGTGACCTATATGCAGTGAACAGACTTTGTATTATTACTGAGAGGTTATCGGATTTGAAACATAAAATATTAGATTTATATAGTGAAAACAGACCTGGTAAATTAATTTTTTATTGGATTTCACAGGTTATGAATTTGATAGGAACAAATGCCTATAAAGTAATTGTTGATGAAATAACATGGAACAAAATTACATAATAACTTCTATGTGCATTTTTAAATTTTAGGCAGCTTGCATTGTATTATGTAGCATTATGTAGCATGCAACATCGCTTGCATAATGCATATGGCACATTTCTAGTTGTCCCCTGTCACGGTCACTTTTTGTAGGTGGCCCGTTGGCAAAAGTAACTTCGAAAAAATTTAAAGATTTAGTTAAACAACTGGATAAAACTAAAAAGATCGATCATGTTTTAAAGGGACCTGGAAATAAGTAATTTTAAATTTATTATTTCTGTAAAATTTTAAATAAAAAATAAAATAAAATAATATTTAAAAATAAATAAATTTCAGTTTTGGACACGTGCACTTCAAGTTGGACTCTGATGCTGAAAATTTCTATCAAAATTTAGAAGATGAGCGTTGTGTTGTTGACAACAAGGATAAGTCAAGGATCTTGAGGAAGTTACACTTTACATCCGGAAATCATCACTATATAATAATAGTATTGGAGAGGGTTCTTTACTAATGTGAAAAATTATAGTGTCAAAGGAAAAGAAAAAACCTCTAATGAAGCACAAATTAGAGATGACTAGAGATGTGCGAATGCAAGTTTTTTTGGCTTTGCATCACATAATGCAACATTATGTCGCATGATGCATTATGCAATTCTGTATAATATACTATGGACTCTCAAAACCTATATGCAGCGAACAGACTTTGTATTATTACTGAGGGTTTATCAGATTTTAAAACATAAAATATTAGATTTATATAGTGGAAAAAGACCTGGTAGATTAATTTTTTATTGGTTTCACAGGCTATTAATTTGATAGAAGCAAGTGTTTATAAAGTGATTGTTGTTGAAATGATATGGATCAATTAAATAATAACTTCTATGTGCATTTTTAAATTTTAGGCAACTTGTATCACATTATGTAGCATTATGTAGCATGCAACATCGCCTGCATAATGCACACGGCACATCTCTACTTGCATAATTTGTCTGATAAATTTGTCTGATAAACTTCTGGAACAATGTGATTATAGATGTTTAGTTTTTAACTATTATCATTTGTCCTTTTAGATAATCTTAGATCTGTAGCATTAGAAGTACTGTTATTGTGAAAAAAATACTACTATTGCGAAAATCAGCATGAAATATATTTTGCATCATGAATTTTGATTAAGTCAATTGATATATTTTTGAGTTGTTCAATTTGATTCATATAAGTTATTAACTTTTAATCTGCAAATACTACAAATTTTATGAAACCCACTGAATTAACTTACTATATGATATATTTTGATAAAAAGAGTTCAAAAATTTTAGCAATATGAAATTAATTTCAATGACTATAAAAGACTAATTTCAGCAGTGATAATTTTTATTAAAATGGGCAATCTAGGTACATATATAGAAATACCATAAATATTCTTCAGTATTTGAGTTGAGTTGAGCTATATACCTAAAGTAAGGTAATAAATACAGACTATAAAAAGCATTAGTTTTATAAATAAAACAAGTGTATAATTTAGTAAATACAACAATTATGTATACATAGAAAGTCAGGTTAGCAAATGCTGTAATTTATCAATTATAGAAACAATTTGAAATTGTATTCATTCCTGGTTCTAGTGTGACTGCTATATTATTAGTTATTGTTATGAAGATTAAGTTAAAGGATAATGTGTGAAATGAGTCATACTTATCGAATGTCTAAGGTTATTAGATATATAAGTGAGAAATATTTCAAAATCTGCTGATATAAAAAATGCTATTAAAACAAATAAATAATCTAAATGAAAATTGGATAAAAACAATCTCTTTCTGCTGATCCTCTGTTCCAAAATTAGAACTAAGAAAAAACAGTAAAATTTGCAAAAACGAGTTAACAAACAGCTAAAATCCTTCTAGGAAAAAAGAAGC